CAGAGGGTCGGACTTGATGATCTGCTCAGGTCCCTTCTGACCCTACTAACTATGAAACTATTATTACAGCTCAGAAGAGTTGGTGGCAGCCATGATAGTGAATCTTGATTCCATTTCTGAAACCTTGATTTTTAAGCTATAGCAAGCTAGTAAGACAAGTTAATCAAGGTGCCAAGTGGTATCCAGAAAGGACAGGGGCAACCTCTTCCTTTAAAATTAAACATAAAAGCACATAACTGATGAATCTGTTTACAAGTATTTTCTTGTCTTTCTGTGCCCCATGATACATCCCTATAACAGTTTTGTGACATCACAGAGGACCCTAAGAATTATAGAATGGCACATCACCTCTGTATACTTGTACATGAATCTGCTAAGTAGAGATGTCAAGTTTTAGAAATATTTCAGGGTCTTTAAAAACTTTGGAAATAGGGATATGAGGCCATATTGTATGCAACATCACAAGCAACCCTAAAATGTTGAAATCTGCCTTTAATGTGTGTGTGTGCTTGTTTTTTAGAATTCAAGTGGTTTGTTAAACGTTACAAGCTTCCAGCCTGTACGGCCTTTGCCTTCTATTAGAATTTTGGTGGACAAAATTAACCTGGAACATTCTGTGCCAATGTATGCTGAACAACTTGTGCAAACAGTCAGCAACCTTAGCCAACCTTCTGATAACCTGCTTCATTACTGTAATGCACACTGCTACCTTAAGGTAAAAGAAAATAAAAAATATTATCTAGTATGTTGAAAATAATTTAGCATGAATAAGTTTAGCACGAATATAAGCAACTTTAAATGTTGAGTTATTTTGTAGAGCATGTCCAGTTTTGCCAGAAGGATGTGCAACAAGTCTCAGGGTCTTGGTTCTACGCTCCTTATTTAGCCAAGATGTCCTCTGACTTCAGTGAGAATTTCAGTGAGTAAGCAGTGCAGGTTAAGCTTGAATGGGCTAATTACTTACTTATAAGAGTCTCTTCAAATTGATTCAGAGAAAACCAGTGTAGAAAAATAATTTAAAATGATATACATGGTAATGACTTATCTTTATAAATTCTGTTGAATACTGTGAAGGAAAGTAGTTATGTTGGCTGCTTACAGACATGGGGAAAAAAGACAAAACAATGCTTTACTTCAAACTCCACATGCTCCTGCACTGAAAAAGAGAAAGCACGTTAGTTTGCCCTGGCTTTCTCAGCATCTGTAGAGGTTGGGTGTGTTAGTGGGGCTTTTCTGATGTTTTTATCTAATAGCTGATTGAATCAGCTTTAGCTAAAAGCACCAAAACGCCCTGCTGAATCACCCGATTTCTACAGATGCTGTGGAGCTGGGTTGAAGTAACATGCTGCTTCTTTTGCTAAAATGTGTTTTGAAGTGAGGGGAGGTTCCCCCCCATGTCTGTCACTGCCTATTGTGTCAATGTTCACAAAAAGCAAAAGCCCATTCTCGAATACAGTGAGCCACATCTTTGCATAGTTCAGTTCTTCTGAGTATTGGAGGAGATCTTAAAATATTTCATTTTAATATCCTTTATTGAGGAGGAAGCCTTTTTGCTAGGTTTAGAGAATTTAAAAATCACAGCAATCGTTTGGCAAAAGGAGCATAACTTCAGCTATAGTATCACATTCTGGCCTGCTAGACCAAGTGCTGTGGTTAGAACAGCTTGAGGGGCTTTGGGTGCTGTTATAATTATATTTGCATCCACCCCAACTAATGCCACTACTAACAATGGTAAGTGTAAATATCGCCTTTGAAAGAAAACACAGAGGAGCTCCTTCACATCTCCACTGTACTTGTCTACCCACACCATAACAGCTGTCTAAGCAACAAGATTCTTAAACTGTTCCTATAAAACAGTAGCACAGTGTTCCATCATTACATGGCAAACTTCCACTTCCCTAGGAAGGTGCAGCTCACCTCCTAGTACATTTAAAATGATTGGGTCAGAAATATCACATCTTGTCCTCCTAATTTTTTTTATATTTTCATTAGGGCTGTCCTCCCCAAGGGTTTATACATAATTATTAAAAGAAAACCCTTGGCTTTTTCATTTGTGGTTGAATTTTCTGAGTGCAGAATTGAGCCAGTTATTTTATCTGCTATATAAATATGTGAATTGTGCTTTGACATGCAGATGGCAGAATAGGTTAAAAATATTAAACGCCTTCAGAGCTAGTTTTCACAGGGACAGGGAGAAATGTTAGAGAACAAGTATAATATATCCTTAAAAATCTAATTCAAATTTAGCCTCATTTTATTAAAAAAAAAAAAAAAAAAAGCTGGTCTTATGAAATCCCACAGTGTACAAAAATATTGACTAACTACTAAACAATGGATTGGTGGGTTTTACATGGCTTCATATAAACGATAAAATGTAATATGCGATTGTAAGTAAGCATTTGGCATGTTGCATAAATATTAATAGGAAACATGAACATATTTTTACTAGTTTTTAAGCGGATGCAGTTATTTCTTTTTAAGATGAAAAAACAAGTTTTTATGAGTGGACGGGAGGTATTTTCAAGCTGTGAGAAAAGTATTCTGTAATTATAATTGATAGTTTTATATTTAATGATTATTACTTTAATATTATATTTTGGGGGGCTGGGAAAGTCCAGAGAGTTTAGGTAATGGAAAGTAGAAGTTTTAAATCTAATCTGTGTTTGTTGAATCTTTTATCAGTATATAGTTTGACCTTTTGTGCATGTTTCAGATATTTGGCTTTCAGGCAGGACTAACCTCTTTGGATATCAGAGGATCATACTGCTCACCTGCTCCAGTTATCCCCTCTTTCAGTACTGCTTTTTATGGGAAGCTGCTTAAATATCCCAGATCCTGGTGAGTGTTACATTTTACAGAATCAAACAGTAATATAATCCATAACTATTTGCTTTATATAGTTTTGGGTATTTGACCGGTCAAATAAAGTTTGGTCAATTGACCAGTCAAAAATCAGTCAAAAATTGTAGAAAATTGCCAATAGGTTCAAATAAAACGTAGAAAAAGCACAAATTTTCTATTAAGAAATGTCAAAAAATAAAAATCATGTGTCTGTCAAGAAAACTACAAAAAATGTAGGGTTTTTTGTTGTTTTGGGTTTTTTTAAATACAATTGCTATAAACTTTGACTGGTCAAAAATATGCAGTCAGTTGACTGGCTGAGTGACCATATTTGACCGGTCAGTTGACTGGCTTGCCAACCCTAGTTTTTATACTTACTGAGAGGTTAAATTAAATGGATTTTTAAGGATAGTATCATTTATTTCTAAGGCTTTTTGTCTCTTGCACCATATATTATTATTTGAAATCTGTTGTCTGCAAAGAACAACTTTGTAAGGACACAGCTGTTAATCAGCAAGTCCTTCGGTAGTCCCTTCTTTCATTGAGTAAACCCAGTGACAGACTACAAAATACTGTAGCAAATGTTTTGCTTTTTCAATCATAGGGAATCTCACGAAACAATTCCCATTCCTTCTTGAATGAATACCAAAGATAATGTTATCTACTGATATTTGGATTAATGCATCTTAATTGAATAGCTGTGCTCTCACCCTTCAAATCAACCAAATCAAAAGTCTGATGCAAAGCAGCAGTAACAGCCTAAATCGCACTATATTTATTTGTCATATTACAATTGAAACCATATTAATGAGACAATCAGATGTGTAATATATTTGTAGTGATTGCTTTACAGTATTGAAGGTTTAAAATGCAAATATTTTCACACCGAAGAAGAATTTTTTGTGGTTTTTACAATGATTACAAAATGTAAATACTTCATAAACCCTTCCCTTTTCTTTTGTTCTTTAACACAGTCTAGCTCTTCTGTTAAAATTTCACTCTAAACTAGGTTTTGTATTATATGACATGCTGTATCACCTTTGTTTTTTAAAAATATTGTATTAAAATATGTTGCTTTGTCTAGAAGAGTATAATATATAAGGATTTTTCCTTCTGGCTTAAAACTGAGTTAGATATAATAATACATAATTTGAATGTAAGTTACCTTCAGGAATATTATTAATATGGGATAAGCTGGTCAGCAAGACAAGTCAGCATTTTAAAAATATTGGCCTCATATTTAATAAAAGTGTCTTTTTAACCAATTTGTGAATGAAAAACAGGACACAGTAACATGTGGCCTATGGATCATAAATATATACAAATTGATACTCCCGTAGTTTTAGCTGTGCTACATTATAAAATAATAACCTGTCTAATTTTTGTAGCAGCACTGTGTTAATAAGTACGCATTGCTAACACAATCACCGCACCACCAGGTGGTGGTAGATTAATTTTCATGGTCATATTTTTCAAAAACACTTTACAAAAAATACCAAACCACTTAAGTGAAATGGTTTTGGCTTTCCCTTTTGCTTAAGAAAAATTTCCTTTTCTGTGGCAGTTTAAAATTGATTTAAATTATTAACATTGGTAAAGACAAATACTTCAGTAATTTGATAAGATTAAAGAAAAAAATCCAAATTCTTTTCACTAAATTATATGTTGCTTTTACTAGTTAACAAGTTGTTTACAAACTTGAAAAATAAATTTGATGTTTTAAACATAATTATACATCTTGATTTTACAATATTTTGGGAAAAAAGTAATCTGAGCAACAAGGATTTTACTCTTTTTGATTATTTTAAGATGAATCATTTATGAAAACAGTTCAGTAGGCAAGATTTAGTATTTCTAAATGTCTCGTAAGTATTAAACCTTGTCACATTTTTCTCTCTTGTATTTATGTTCTCTGAGTTATTTTTTGTTGTTGCTTGATAAATTGCCTAGCTAACATATATAACTCAGTATACCAATAATAAAAAATAAAAATCAGTGATTTTTAGAGAAAAATGAAGCTGCCTAAAAATGGGAAATCACCTATTAACATTTTGTGAACAGGTTTTATAATCTGAAAAACTTCTGTAGTTTGATACATTTTCAGTCATTTTAACAGTAGTTTGTCATTTCTTTTTAAGGTATGATGCATTTTTGTATTTCCACATGCACGCACACGTGTGTGTGTGTGTGTGTGTGTGTGTGTGTGTGTATACACACACACATATATAATTTCATAATTTTAAGAAGATAAAGTTAATTTATGCAAACAGTTTATCTAAACCAAGCAAAACCAATCTGAGGGTAATAAAGTAGAAAAAATAAATGAGTACAACAGCAGCCTGCTTAAATGAAGTGTAGCTTGAAGTGAATAAAACTCCAGATGAAATGCATCAAATAGCACTTGAACTAAATCGAAATCAGCATGAGGATTGAGAGCTTCATTGAAGTCATGCAGTGAGTGTGAATTAGTCTGGTAGAATAACCTGGTAATGTCATTAAACTTCAACTCTTTTTTTCCCCAAATTATACCACCTGCTTTATTTGGAATTTTAGATTTCACATTCCAGAGTTTCTTAAAGTACACACATCTGATGCTACATATGTTCTTCTGTTTCTTTGGAGAAAATATATACCACAGACCATACCTTTTAAAAACAAAGACATTTTATGAACTGTTATGGAATCCCTTAGGAAGTATGTTTTGAGTTAGCAGTGAAAATTTCAACTTTATTTCTGACATAAATCAGCAGAATGGCTTTCATTTTTCTTGTTTCAAAATAATCACCCCTAACTGTACACTAACTATAGGGATGCATATAATATTTAAATGATATTCAGATTATAAACTGTATTGAATAAGCATTAGTAACATATTTTAACGATTAATTTCTCCCAAAGAAAGATTCTTACAATTAATATTAACCATTAAAAGAAGTGATATTGACTTGTGTTTACTATCATACCAATTAATATATGGATCCACTGCCAAACATCTCCCCAGAATAGTTAGTTCAGTGTAAGACTTTTGACTATACTCTAAATTAATTTATGTATAACTTAATTAAAATTACAAACTTTTACAGCATTTCTAGCCTGACAAACAGAAAACCACTGTTATTTTCCATTCAGTTGTTTGTTGATATTTCAATATATTTTCTCTTGACATAATGCATTCTGTGCAGTGCATTAGCAACTTGACTGTGTCCATCTTTTTAGAGGCTGTTTGCCTGTGTGTATGGAACCTCATTAACCTCAGATAACTTCATTATCTTCATCGCAACTTTTCATGAAAATCTTTTCCTTCAACTGGATGAGGAAACCAAACCTGGTGAATAGGCTGGATGGTATATAAGGCAAAGCCACATTTGGTGGTTGTTATCACTAGAACCTGCAATGTGAGGTGATTTATTGTCCTGGAAAAGCAGCACTTCTTTACACTGCTTTTTGTGGTGCTAGTTTTCAACAGCTTCTCACAAGCTCAGTAGTTCTCTAGCATAGTGTTTCCTACGGATAGTCTTGCCTGGTGAAAGGAAGGTTAGTGGTCACCTTTTACCAGTTCTAAACCACTTTTGCAATGGCCTTACCAAGTGATACTATCTTCTTGAATGTCTTGGGGTGAGGGAGAAGATTGTGCATGCTTCCAGTGGGAATAATCTGCAGTTTGGCTTCAGGATCAAAAGAGGTAGACCCATATTACATCATGAGTCTCATTCCTGCTTCTGGATTGGTTGGATTTGCTTGATACCGTTCCAGAATACTCATGGAAATGTTGTCATGAATTCTTCTAATTAGTGCTTTACATTGTAAGTATTGATCTTGCAGATATCTTTCTAATGCCTAATATTTCATTTAGGATTGTGTTTCTGATGTGACATCCTTTCTTGGGGCTCTGGCCTTTGTTTTTTCCCTTGTTTAAATTCAGCTTCCCAATTCTTTTACTGGTATCAGGGACATCTTCCCTGAGTATTGTCACCACGTCCTTATAGATTTCCTTTGGGATCATGGCCTTACTTCTCTTTTTTATTGAATCTTTGGTGACTAACTTTTATGCTTCCTTGTACAGATTTCACACAGATTGGAAAAAAATGGCTGCTCATAAAGAAACACATCAAGCTATCCATATATTTACTTACTGTGAAATCTGTTGGGTTCTAACATATCTTTAAATTGGTCAGGCAAGACTTATTGTTAATGCCTCTTGCATACTTTTGGCAGTGAGATACAAAATACAGTGTTCTTACTGATATTTTGCAGCTAACTTCTATATAGCTGCATGCCACGTTGTATTAAACAGTTTTTGGACCTTTCAGCAAAACATTTAGACACAACTAAAGAAATTAGAAGATTGTGATTAAGAGGACATAATGAATAATAACGGTAGTTAATGCCAAACAAATGTTTAGAGAAATTAAATAATTTTTCCTTTGGCTACACTTTATTTTTCAGCATATGAGGTAATTGGGTGTAGGACAGTTCAGCATTGTAACACTGTATCATTAGCAGAATAGTACTTTGTTTTTCTTAGACAAATCTTTGAGATTCCATTAGTACAGATTAAAAAGATTAATGAGAGCATTCTCTCTCTCTCTCTTATTGTTTTTGTTATTCTGATACAGAGATGTTTCAACTATATATTTAATGAGCTATATTTTGGTCCAGTTCACGTGTAATATAAGACATTCCTTTCTTCTTTGAGCGTCCTTTGCACCTTCCTGCTCTTGAGACATGCTAATTATACAGTCTAGGTTAGTGGAATCTTCTTGAAGCAGTACTCATAGGTGGGTTTGCACACTCACCTTAACATCTTTTCAGCTGTGAATACTTATGGAATAAGGTTATAAAAGGGGGTGGGGTAGATCAAGCATACCCTGGTTCTTTCCATTTGAGTTAGTAATTGGTATCTGCCTTACTAGGTACATGGTCCTATTCTTTTTGGGAACATTTCCCAGTTAATTGATTATATTTTACTTAAGTATTGTTTGCATGCTTAAGTTTCA